AACGCAGGCACGTGAGCTGGAGTCAACTGCCTAACTTGTTGCTCTCAACTTTTTAAAACTAAGTACACGAACTTTTCACTTGCATCTTGCCAGGTAAAATGAGGATATTCTTAAAAATTTCTTGAATAAAAGAAGTTTCACTCCAGGCTTTAACTGTGACCAGGAAAAAAAAAAAGTTTCCTCAGAAAACATTCAACTCATGAAGACAGGAAGCAGTGCAAACAATCCACTTATTTCAACAGAATTATTCATTACTACGAACCGTGTATTTATAACATTCAACAGACATTGTCTGGGGCTCTTTTCTCATGTTTCAGGACACAAGAAATTTGTACCACATTGATCTTCGAGACAGTGAACAGAGCACATCGAAAACAAGTTGTTCACTGCTCTCACAGATCGTGGCTATGTTCTTTCCCCTCTCATTGCTGAAAGTTTATTCTCTAATAAGAAATTCCCAAGGCATCTTGCAATAGGAAGCATTCATGAATGAATGCATTAATAAGTGTTTCCTATTGCATGGTCCACTGGGAATTCTTTACAATACTTGCAAGGAGTTTACAAACCTTCATTAGTTACATAAAACAGTAAAGAAAGTTTGCTTTTTCAGAACATACTACTTTGCCACTTTTCAAAATATCGCAGCAGACTTAAACACCAGCATGAAATAGAGCCAATGCCCTTTTACGTACTTACCATGTACCACATGCTTGGCCACTTGGGATCATTGAAATAAGTGGATTGGGTACCACCAGGTTTATAATCTCTCTTTATCCTTCTTTTAACCACCTGCTGTTGTATCCACTCCACCTGCCAACAAGGAAAACATTTGGTAAGGGTTAGGGTTCCATGGAGATTATCAAGAAATGTGTGAAATCTTGGGAAGTTTCCCATTACCAGAGTCCAAGACATATTTCATGTTAAAGGGTTCATTTTGGCGGTGGGAATGCACAGCTCACCTTGGCATACTGCTCACTAGGGAATATATCCAATTTAGTTAGTGCTACAAGTCTCCATGAGCAACTACTTAAATTCCTGCTAGAAAGATTTCATTGGCTATCATCTTCTGAACAACACCTTTATTTTATTATTTTTCATTATCAGACTAGCTCCTCTTTCAAATTTATAAAATCAGTTACTTCTATAAAGCTTTACAACATATCACAATGAGAAACGAAAGAAGTTTCTGATAGTTTTCTTTCTTTTGTTTTATTTAAGTTTGTTCTTGAAAATAAAATGTTCAGTAATATACTCAAATGTTTTACTTAAACCAGTATAGAAGTAGCTTCATCACTTGGAGTCAAGAAACAGAATTAAACTGTATTTTTGTAACAGTGGGACTCTCAGTCAGTCAGGCTTTTTGCGACTTTCTTTTATCCTGCAGTGCTCCCCAGGAAGAAATAGCTGGGCACCCAGCAACAGGTTAAACTACAACTACACCAAAAAGCACTTGAAATAGAAAAATAAAAATCAGGGTTAAAAATCTAGTTCTGAAAGCCAGCTTCTTGTCTGTCAGCTCTTCAAAGATTCACGACGTATCCAAAAAGGGTGACACCGAAAATGACATCAACCTTACAGCACATCATTTCTGTCTAAATGGGAGCTAGCTTCCATAAATGTGAATAATATAAACTATCCACAGACAAAGCCAGGTTATATTTATACATATCTGCCTTCCTGACAGCTCATATTTCTGCCGAATTGTTCCAGAGGATATAACTGCAGAAATTCAATTCACCTCTTCCCAGACAAGACAGCCATTTCCTACTAGTAGCCAACTCTGCACCTTAGATCTGTGCTGTTATGAACATCTGTGCATGCACACATACATAAATATATATATAAAAGAAATTTATTTTCAGCTCACATATTTCACTTTGTCACATGTCAGAGATGGTATTAACGTTTCTCCTTAGCAGGCCAATGTCTATGCTATGTATCCTCAACTCCAAACCGTGGGATCCCTACACAGACAAAACTCTATTGACACTAACAAATTTTGCTTGAGGTCCATACCACCTTGGCTTCTGACTTCTCCTTCCAGGTGAAAACATAGAAAGGCATCTCTGAATTCTGCTTGGGAGCATTCCCAGAATATTGCTTCTACAGGCTGGCAAGGCTTCGTGATTTTCTTTATAAAGAAGAACGGAATCTTTCCCCTTGCCAAGAAGTACCTTCAGGGTCAACAGCATACTTCTATATGCTTCTACAGGAGAAATTACGCAGCTGAAGAATACAGACTATCTAACTGGTAATGCCTATACAGAAACCCATTTCTCTGTTAAATCTTCCAGCAAATCCCTTTCCACTTTTGAGAGAATTAAGACCTTGGATAAGGTGTCTTTCTCTCCTGGTTACTCAGCTCCTCTTTTAGCTTGGGCTGGCATCCATCATGGTGGACTTCCTCTCAAGAAGCCTAGAGCTGACTGCCAGCTTCAGATCTTACATGACCCAGAAATACTTTCATTAGGAACAGGCAGGTAATCAGTCTTTGGCACCATTTGACATAGCAAACTTTGGAGGCCTGCAAGATGTATACAGTGTATTTGGCCAGAGGCCAAAAGGAGAGCCAAAGACTTTGGCAAGCACTAGGCCTTAAGACTCAAGAGACTGATTTAAAGTGGGATCAAGATCCCTTTTAACTGGAGCTCCCCTCCATCAAAAAAGGCTGACACCCAACATTTATATAATGAATCCTACTTCCTTGTCACCTGCTGCGAACACGTCTTCTTTCCAGATCCCCACAGAAAAGCTATTTTTTTCTCCTAAGTTTCTCTCCTCACAGACTGCCCAGCTCTCCCAACACATCTGAAGCCAGCTGAGGGGTATCCCACATACCATTTCATCTCTGACTCAGTAGCTGGCTCTGTTTTGTTCTTAGCATGTAGAAGTCAGTGACAAACAAGGCTGAATAAGCAATCGTGGTTTTCAGGGCTTATACAGATCCATCTTCCAAACTTTACTATCAGATTTGGCTATTATTACTAGATAGATAGATACATTTTCAGCTGAATGAGGGGGTCTGAGGCTTCTTGCTGGCAGAGTACTTACCATCAGCTTAACTCATCCCTTAGCTGTAGGAATGAATCACACGAGCATGTTAGCATGTCCTTAAAAGTTATGCTGAAAGCGGTTTAAGTCAACCAAGTTCAACCCTGCACATGCTGCAAGCACATACGGAGCATGCCATGCTGCACAGGGCAACTCATTACAAAACTCATTCCTATCTGAGTCTGCAGGAAGGAGTTATAAATGCCTATCCCCGACACAATTTCAGGATCTGATACTGGTGTAAAGATGTCCCCAAAGGAAAAACAATGAGATAAACTCAGCAGAAAAAGTGTAAACTTCCACCCTCCCTACCACTACTAACTCTGACTTAAATGCAGGAACATTCATGGAAGAAGGTAGGCACCAACAGTGCTTTTGCTTAGAGGAACTGCAGGTCAAGATGCCCCGGCATTTAAGTTGGCATTACGAACTCCTCTGCATTGGTGTTGCTACAAGCAATATCATTAGGAACTGTGAGGGGTTTCTGAAAAACATCTCTCTTTTGTAAATGTAGCCAGAGGAGTATAAAATGGTCCAGGAGACGGTGTAACACAGAGAAGTTTAAGCAGAACTTGGAAAACCTAATACCTTTTCTATATGGAGGAATGAGAAGGGGTTTTCCTGACAAGACAAATTACAAGGCTCTTTACTATTCACTGTGAAAACATGTATTCATTTACTACCTGTTCAGCTGTAAATATCTGCTGACTATTAAAAAAATTGTAAGTAAAGGCAACATAGTGCTTCCGGAGACTGATACATTCATACATTGATGTTTCAGAAAAAAAGGTTAATTCCTTTTGCCTCTGTTCCCTTTGTTTCAGATCACGTTACAGAGAGCACCTATCAGACATTTCTTTAGTCCAAGCAATCATAAACGTTGTCTCATTGTACCATCCCAGTACACTGTCAATAATACATGAAGAATTTCTTTATATGTATACATGTAGGTATTTCTATGCATGAATGTACTTATACAAGAGCATGTATCAGCCGAGTTAATCTGCAAGTCAGTTTTATCTTAGGTGGTTAGATTTTAGTGAGGTACGGATAGACATTCTTCAGTATCTTATTTCCTGCCTTTAACAAAAAAGCTAAGTGACTGTGCTTCAGATAATGTGTCACAAGGCCTGCCCCTACTACATACTGCATTTTGTCAATAATTTAAGTTTCCTCAACTCCTAGCAGAGTCAGGGAAAACATATGAAAGAGTCATTTTGTGAAGGGCTGTCCAGCTTGCATGATCAGACCCAAAGCCAGAAAAAGGAACGTAATTTTTTGTCTTTCCACATGGCCAAGTGACAGTTTTATGTAAGTGAGGGACAAATAGCATGTTTGTGTGAGCATGTGTATGGCAGGATAGTGCTGGTAGCTTTGTACTGATGGAACTGGTGTAAAAACCTGGGCCATGCTGGGCACCTACAGCTATCTATAAACGTGGAAGGGGAAGTGAAAATGGCCATTCAAATTCTGTGCACTCCCTTAACGGAGCGACAGTAGGAAGTGAGACAGAGTAACCCAAAACAATACAGTACGCCTAAGTGCAGCCCTGACGATAACCTTGTTGGTAAGATTTTTTGCAAACAACTTCTGTTGGAATCTGCTTGATAGTTGTTTTTACAATTGCACTCAGGATGTACCGAAATACACATCTGGAATGTAATTAAAACCATCACAGGAAACCCACTTTCTCAGCTGAGGAGTGAGTGCATAAAATTTAATTTACAGAAAATACCATTTCTATGGAAATAGAATCGCTTACTCCACTGAAATATGGGTTTGGGTTTTTTCTCTAACAAGTGAACAGAAAAATCTGTTGGTAGTCTTCAGTCTGAACTAAATTGTACAATCACTGGGTTTTTTTTAACGAAGACTAGGCCAAGACTCAGCAGCTATTTTAGTATACTGACATATATTGCCTTTGAGTATTTTATGGGTATTTTATTCACATGCCACAGTCAGATGCCTGGTATATCTTGGATTTGTTTGATTCTGTATGAAAAGAGTTCATTTGTATAAAAATATTTTCTTTTAAAAAGCGTCCACACTTCCTAACCCATAGGCCTTGAAGGAAAATCTCTGGAGTAATTGATTATACAGATTCTCACTTCTTGCCAAAAGGAGACTCTATGCAAACAATGAGGTGCATTTTAACATTTCCATAAAGTCACATTTACTGAGGGGGAACAGTGCACATTTTCCCATTGACTTCAGCTTCGAAAGTTCCATTTCCTGAATGTCTAGAAATCAAAGCCAAGCCAGATTGGAGACCAAACTATTTTAAAAAATCATCATTTCCAGTCTCCTCACTTCAGCACTCACAGGGTTGTTCTGTACATGATGCAGCTCTTCTTCAGAGACCTGCATGAAACCATGCTACAGAATAAAAGCTGCTCTGAGCTATTTGAAGCACACCATTCTTTTATTCTCTTTAACTGCTAAGGAATATAGAAAAATGTTATCTCTATGTGAAACAAAAGTATTTTCTGCCAGTTTCCCTCTCATTCATTCAATAGAATTCATGGAAAAGTAGCCCTATATAAGAATGTTGTATTAGGACTTTCTCCAGTGCAAAAACTGTGAAAACTAAAAAATAAAAAAAAAAAGTTGGAAAAAGAGGGAAAAAAATTAACATGCTGAAAAAAATAATCTGCCTATTTATCAAAGCCATGCAATTTTTAGCATATACACACTGGATACTCTCTGAAAGAGTTGTTATTTGTATTTAAAATATAGGATGAGGGGGTCTCCTTGGATAA